TACTAGTTTTCGTGGCTGTACGTTGTTTTTTGTTCGAAGTAGGAGGTGGCTGTTGGTCTTGAGAAAACCGTGCAGGAGTTTTCTTGGATCGAGTTGGTCTTCCACGTTTCTTCTGTGCTGGCATGATGATTGAAGATGGTCAACTTTCAAAGTTTGTGAGAAAAAATCGTTCGACAGCAAGCAATGAAGCAAGTGTGATATGACTGATGAGTGAATGCTTGGTCTAGTGGTTAAATAACCAAGATGCAGGGAATTGATTGGTTGGGGATGGGAGGATTATGGAATATACAAAATATGATTGGTTACCAAGAATGCAGGTTATGGAATGTGTACTTAATAACAAAGCATGGCAATGAAACAAAGGACTGGATGTGTAATGTAGAAAGAGGATTATTATAAGTATGAGGGTGATAATTAAAACATAACGTTGAACAAAAGACTGGCAACAGGGTGAGGCAAATGAACCCCATGGTCAGGTGTTAAGTATAAACTACGATTGTGAAAACATGATATGTAGGTAGTAGACAGGTGTGGTCGTCCCAGCAGTGTTAACCTCAGATTACTATGTAATCGGCCAATTTGCATGATAATTAGCTAATTTGTCCCTGTTTCTTGATTGTTCCACTCGTATCTAAAGAACCACCCATGGGATTTTTATGAAACTTGGTACATATATGCTCTAGAATAATGCACGGATTTGGTTAGTTTTGGATAAAAATTCATGCATATTAATTACCTAATTTGTATAATGATTTCTCAATTTTCGTCTATCCATTGATATCTCAAGTATTAATCACATTTCAATGAAACTCGGTGCATAGATGTCATAAGACAATGCACATGCCTAATATTTTTAGCTGAATATTTGCATATTAATCACCTAATTTGCATAATTAGTCAATTTTCAGCTTTTCATCTGATATCTTAAGTGCTAATCATCACATTTCAATGAAACTTAGTACTAGATGTTATAGAACAATGTACAGACCTTATTAGTTTTACATTAAAATCTGTGCATATTAATTATCTAATTTGCATAAGAATTTACTTTTGACCTCATCCAGGGTAAGAAGTGGGGTTCTCTCTCGTAGTAAAACACCTGCATCTGTAAAAACATAATGTGAGAGCTATGAAACATTTATCCGGGAAGACCCACCGTGTATTTACCTCACAATCTCAACCTCAGTTACCTGCCTGATAACCCACCATGTCCCTGTCATTTATCAGTCATCCCCACACTAACTAGACCAATAGTCACCTATCAACCGCAATCAAATGTGCCACCTAAACCCTGTCTATCTGATAGCATACCATGTCTGTATCTCTTATACCACTCTTACTAGTCCAATATAGACACAAAATCATCACCATCTATATCTCTGTGTGAGAAGTAGACATGAATGTACAACTCAAATGGTTGGCGTTTATAATGTTAACTCAGGCACAAAGTGCACATGTTCTCCAGTACAAAAATAAACCCTGATATCTCCCTATTCAGTGGTGGTAATGGTGTACGTCTGCAAAGTTTGAATAACTATTATGTTGCCCTTAACACATAGTTCTGCTAATTGAACATCAAGATATAATTTGGATGTGGTTTCTAGAATATGAGCGTGATCTTTATTGTACCTCTATGTTTTCTTAACTCTATGATCGTAATTCAAATAACGTTCACATTAACAATCACAAAACTGCGAAGAATAATATTCAAATCTGTATTGGGTGGTCACTGAGCTTGTAGTTTGGTAGGGATGTGTAGCTCTAAATGTAAACTCTACAAAAATACATACCCATGGGGTATTAGAAACAAGATTGATAAAAAAAACACCTTTAACACTCGCACATTACATTATAAATAAATGGTAATAACATTGTAGAACAGTAAATGCGCTCTTCTTTGAGATAAATACTCGATACTGGTATGGTTTATTGATATACTGTCATTACACAACTTATTTTAACATACAGTTTTGAAACATCAACTTTTATGATCAAATCAGTATACTGATACCTTGACAGTTGACATCCCGCACATCATATACATTTTTCAGTTTGGGCACTCCATATATGGTACCAAATGCGGTACATCCGCAGTTCAGAAGGCATGACATCATCAGACATACAACAAATGTATACATTGAACCCATGACATTAAAACATACTTAAAAATATCATAAAGTGAATCAAATTAAAATAGATAAGCTGATCCTATAGCTATGGGGTTTTTACATAGTGCCTCTTTGAGAGTTCTGAATGTAGAACATTGATATAAATCAAAACGTCTGATAGATTCCACGAGTGTTCGCAAGCTTTAGTGACACCACACCTTTCTTATCAATCGCACCTTCTTTTTTGACACGAGGACACGGAAAGATATTTGATATAGTAAGACTCTAGCGCATTTTATACCATTATACCATACCAAGAATATGTAGGTTTCAGATTCACACACGCAGAAATATATTTTCTCAGGCGACATAAAGGAAATATGAAAGACAATGTCAGTTTCCAGTTCAGCTATTATGACGAATTAGATTATTTTTTGTAAAACTTTACAAATAACGCGGTGGATAAGGTTGCATATAAATATAGAAACATATCACTGGTTTGACACTGGTATAACCTATCTTGAGTTGAAAGGCAAGCTTTCAATGACGTTGTTGTAATATTTACTGTGATACGATCAGGTTATTGAGATACACATTATTGCTTATCAGCACAATACACATGCCAGCATCCCACGGGGAGTCATATTAGAAACATCTTCAGAGGCAGATGGTATACTATATACAACGATAATAACGCTGTTGTCAAAAGACATAGCACGTAGCACGTAAGTTTCTGGAAGAAGTATTGTTGTTGTTGTTGTCTGATAATGTTTCCTCTATAGCTAATATAAAGATCGAATAATGAGCATATCATCGTCTTTAATCTTATAACTGTGGGAAAAAGAGAAATAAATGTATATATTACCACGTATGTATGCTTTTATCTTTGTTCAGAAATTCAGCGTAATACGCCTACTTCGGTATTTCTCCTGTAAGAACTTACAAATGTTGTGGTATAAAAACTAGAAATTATCAATCAGATTTATATATGGTCATATCAATCAAATAAGTGTAATAGTTTAACAAACACAATACATAAATAAATTATCCACACATAAATCATAATCCCAATCCCTTTTGAGATGAAATGTACACTATCCTCGTGCAGGTTTATTTTCCATAGAAATAACGCTCCCTCCATATTTTCAATTTGTATTGCAACCATAATGACCTTTGAAGTTCAATGATGACAACTGTGAATATACAGGTGTCATTATTTGGTCACAAGATCGTATGATATACTCAATAGTGTGCATCAGCTTCATATAAGCACATAGAGCTGACATTATATCAAAGAAGGTAAGGGCACAATATTTGAGGACACAGGACAGTTGCTCTGATCTTATACATGTTGAGCTACTCGTCCAGCTTTTGACATATTGCAAAAACCATGACTCTCAGCGTGTGTTGCACTGCAACATGTACTGGATACTCATAGTACTAAACTCCAATCTGCTAATACACGTAATACAAATGAATACGTTTACAATTATTATGTATTTGCAGCTATAATGCACCTGCCCGTAGTTCTAGTACTGGTCCTGTTTGCAGTGCAGGCATATACTGCTAGTCTTAGTAACCCGCACATAGGAGTCGTCGTACCACATCAATATATCGTCGTTCTCAAGGTAGGATAGTGAATAGTGATTTACACGATTACCCGACTGTAAACTTCAGTAATATATTGTAAAAGTCGAATTAGACAAATTAAGAGCTTTTTTTTTTATCTTACGAGGTTTTGGGCAGGATAACATAAACTGTGTGTTAAATGTGTATCAGCACTGACTTGTAGCCTAACATGTAGGCGTGAGTGGCCCCTCGCCGCCGAACGGTATCAGACCCCGCTAACGCCTGAAAAAATAGCGCATGTCTCGTCGACAAGGTCAATACTGCGAATTCGCAAAGTTTACACCTTCCTGCAAATAGGTTCAATGAACTGTCAAAATGATGTTATATCAACACCAACTTCAATAAATTTCATTTCAATAAATTATTCCTCACACATTGTATATATCATGTATTTTTTTTCCCATTTACTCCTTGCAGGATGGCTTTAGTTCTACGGCTCGTGACACCCTCGTCGAGAGTCTACAGAAGAACTATGACGTAGAAATTAGGAAACGATTCTCACATGTTATGTCTGGATTTTCGGCGACGATGAATAAACGTGCTGTAATAAAGGTAATGCAACCTGTGGGGTACTTTATATCGAATCATACACAATAAACTTGAACCAGCATGTCATTTTATTCAATCCTGGCTAATGTCACTAATGGCATCTATATGTTTTCCACTACAGGTCATGGAATTAGACGAGGTTAAGTATGTAGAAGAGATCGTTATTGGTGGTATTACGGAAGTAGCTAGTTGGGGATTGGATAGAGTTGACGCTAGGACTGGACTTGATGACCGATATAATCCAAAATGTAAGTATGCCTTTTCCCAATGTCGCTGGTCCCACAGCACATATGTCGCACATGCGCGGCGTGACGACCACTGCCCTTTAAGATGACTGAAGTGACCGCCCAAAGTAGTATTGCACGTATACCAAACTATACTTGAAAATGGAGACCTAATCAATATCAATTTAATTATTTTCGTTTGCATCATAGGTAAGTTTTTGAATTGTAATTTTCAGATAGCGGTGAGGGCGTATCAGTTTATGTGCTGGACACCGGAATACGACAAACACACAATGACTTTGGTCGGCGTGCAGCGTATGGTTATGACGCTGTTGATGACGACTTCGAGGTAATTACTTTATTGGAATGTACATTTATTTATGAATTTGAACAGTTTTCGCAATTTCTATTAATCCACACCCCCAAAAACTCAACGTGTACATTTCTTCTATAGTCTGATGACTGTCATGGCCATGGCACTCACTGCGCAGGTACAACATCAGGTACTGAATACGGTGTCGCAAAACTGAGCAACGTTTACGGCAGCCGTGTTGTCAATTGTCTTGGTATTGGACCAATTGATTGGGTTATCGCTGGTGAGTACTGATGACTGGCCATCACTGCGTATAATAGCAGTGCTGCTGAAATTAAGAAATCTCAGATAAATATTAAAAGGATAAAGACAATAATCCGATTGTATTTATTTTGTCATCTTCAATCAGGGAACAACCATTTATATAACGTACATTGAGCAAATGTGATGTCACTCTGAGCTGTTTTGCTTTGAATTTGTAATTAACCTACAGGTATGGATTGGGTTCTTGCTGAAGGGATAAGACCAGCTGTTTTGTCCATGTCGTTGGGATACCCTCGAAGTCAGGCGTTAGATGACGCAGTAGCAAGAGTGAACTCTGGAGGTTTCACCGTGGTCGGTGCTGCTGGTAACGGTGACAACGATGCGTGCCTGTACTCACCAGCAGGAGCAGAAGATGTAAGTGAGGAATTAACCATTAGAAAGCCTGGAGGTCAAAAATGATTGGATAGAACTACTGTGAAAAGTTGTTTTTTTCTTTTATCTAGTTTTGATCCACATTTTCGTAACGATGTAAATATATATATATATATATTCTGTAACTTTTCCTGTAATTCTTCCCCACAATTCTTTCTAGGCAGAAAACCAACTTCAAACATTCTAATGGTCAACTCCTAACGCCAAATGTTATGTTCATGATGTTCACAATGCGCTGGAAATGATTCCATTGAAATTCTGCATATGTATAAATGTGGCGCTGAATATTATTCAGAATGGGGGAAGGGGCTCATAAAAAACAAAAAACAAAAAAACGATAGTCTGGGTAATGGTTTACATTTTTCGTAAAGTTTCATCAGCCTATTTATGCGAAAATTGGAATATGGGTTAATACGATATAAACAGTGACAGAATATAAAATTAGCAAAACATGCAGATGGACATAATGATCCAGGTTATCACTTGATTATATTGAATTGAGAGTACTGGATCAAAGAAGACACAGTGTCATGAAGTATTAGCAATTTAATACAGATATTTTTGATTTCATAAATAGTACATGAGCCTACTGATGCAAACTGAAGTTCCATGGATGAAGACACAGAATAAGTGGAGTAACTTACACACATGTAATCTTATGTTGTTGTTTAAACATTTAACATACATATTTAATTCCAGACGTATACAGTTGCAGCAACAGATGATAATGACATCAGGGCTTACTTCTCGAGCTATGGTTCCTGCGTCAGTATCTTCGCACCTGGTGTTGATATTGTAAGTGCTGGTCACCTCTCAGATGACGACGAAGCTATAATGTCTGGAACTTCAATGGCGACACCACATGTTGCAGGTA